TATCTCTTTTAGTAAACTGTCCTAAATCAGGGATTAGGCTCTGTGGATTCACACTATTGTTTATGTATCAGTGCAGAGACCTATATGTCCACCTTTACTGGTAATGTGAAGCCACATCTGTAAGATATATAAGATTCCTGCTTTGACAGAAAACCTTCTGAAATTAGAGCAGAAGGTAAAATACTCAACTGGTATTTTATTATTTGGGGGGGGGGTCTTAGTTTTATTTTGTCATATTTTGTAGTCATAAATTATCACAATAGGCAGGTACAAGGAATGAGAAGTAGAAAATCAGCATTTATCTGATACCAACAAATGATGGGAAAAGCAAAACACAAAGGGACAAAACCCAGAACTTGCAGTGAGGCTGCCAGAGTTCAAATCCAGCACTAAAAGCTGAGTGACCTCACTTAACCTCACTACTCACAGTCTCTAAAATGCGAATAATAACACTGCCTTTCTCCCTAGCCGGTGGTGAGATTAAATAGTTACATGAAAACACTTAGAAGAGTGATTGGCACATAAATGGTAAAGGCTGCATAAACTCAGTGGTGTGATCATGAATTCAGTGTGTGCTTTTTGAGCACCTCCCATGCACTTAGAATACAAAGGACAAGAAAATCTACTCTGCATTCAGGGATCACAGTCCCATGGGGAAGAAGTACAGATCTATTTGGAAAAGAGAGGAAGATACCCAAGTGTTGCAAATCTCCTAGTCTCCTATGATCACTATGTCCTTTAAGATATATATTAAATTTAAAGCTGGGCATGGTGGCATACACCTGTAATCTTAGCAGTTTAGGAGGCTGAGGCAGGAGGATCACAAGTTCAAGGTCAGCCTCTGCAACTTAGTGGGGCCCTAAGCAACTTAATAAGACCCTATCTCAAAATTTTTAAGAGGTGGGAAATGCAGCTCAATGGTAAAGAACTCCTTGGTTCAATCCCCAGAACAACAAAAAATATATATTAAATTTATTTTAAAAAAAATTAAAGAAGCCAGACAATCCCAAGCACAGCACTCGACTCCAGGAGTCTCAATGTGCTAATGTGTTCCCATCTTGCTTTGGAACCTCTGGCCCTGACACTCCCCCCACCTTCTGCTGATTGCTTTTTCTTGCTTTGTGCCTTGCATCCAGCATAAAATGCCCCTCTTCACACAGTGGTGGCCTTATGTAGGATTCCACCCTGAGTGTGACTCCCCAAATGCCACCCACCAAGGCTGTGAGAAGCAGGCTTAGGCATTTTGAGCAATTTGATCCTCTTTGGCTCATTTCCTGTGCTTTACAAACCTCCTTTTCACCTTCCTTTCTCTGCCCAGGAGAGAAATCAGGCACTTCTTCATAATCCATTTGTGACTATGAATAGTGACACTTTTCTCCTTCAAAAGGGATAATTACAGAGACAAGATGAATAGCAGTTTTGCTAGTTATCCTTCCCTTTCCACCATAAAACTACAAGATCCTCTTGTTTTCACCCTTCATCTTAAAAGATATAAGGACCAACATCCTGCCCCTGAGCTAAGTCACAGACATTGACTTGGCTGCTTTGTTTGAGGCATCTTATTTCTTTCTGTAATTCAACAGGCACCTACCTCCTGTTAAGTAGTGCTATTCCAAAAGCGGAGATAGTAGATGGTCCCCAACTTACAATGGTTCAACTTACAATTTTTCAGCTTTACAGTGATGCAAAAGTGATACACATTCAGTAGAAACTGTAGTTCAAATTTTGAGTTTGGATCTTTCCCTGGCTAGCCATATGCAATATGATAGATAGTTCCTTAAAATGCGGGCAGTGGCAGCGAGTGACAGCTCCAAGTCAGCCACACGATCACCAGGGGAAATGTCACTACTCTACAGTGCACTGTGCCGCCAAGCTGTGGTGAGCAGTAGACTGGGTGTGTTAGATGCATTTTCAACTCAAGATTTCCATCTCACTGTGGGTATATCTGAATGTATCCCATCATAATCCCTGGAGCACCCTGTGATAGTGAACACAACCAACAACATTTATGTGGAACTTACCTTCTAATGTGAGGAGATTGACAAGGAAAACTTCAAACCATGATAGGATAGGATCCAAAGTTAAAAATAAAACCAGTAGCAAGGCACATGCCTGTAATCCCAGCAGCTTTGGGAGGCTAAGGCAGGAGGATCAGAAATTCAAAGCCAGCCTCAGGAAAAGCAAGGTGCTAAGCAGCTCAGTGAGACTCTGTCTCTAAATAAAATACAAAATAGGGCTGGGGATGTTGCTCAGGGGTCGAGTGACCCTGAGTTCAATTCCTGGTACCAAATAAATAAATTAAACCAGTAGACTGGGGCTACTTTTAGAAGAATGTTCAGGCCTCCCTAAGCAGTGACCAGAAAGAAGACAGGGAAGAGCATTCCCTGACAAGAGGACAGCTTGAGCTCACGCCCATGAGACAGGAGTGTGCTCAGAGTATTTGAAGAGCAGAAAATGGCAAGTGGGCTGGAATGCAGGCAGAGGATGCTGGTGGGGGAGAGGCTGGAGGGTGAGCAGAGGCATGGCAGCAGAGTTTGGACTTGCTATGCTGCTGTGCAGACAATGGATTATAGACAAGTAGGAAGGCAGCAGCTTGGTTCGTTAGGAGGACTCTACTGTATCCAGGTGAAAGCTCACATGGCCTTGTGCCCAGGGTGGTGGAGAGGGAGACGGAGGTGGAGGGATCATTTACAAGTAGGATTGACAGAACCAGCTGATAACTGGGATGGGGTGTAAAAGGGGTAGCAGAGGGAAAGGGAGAATTCAAGAGTGATTCTCAGGCAGTAGGGAAGATGATAGGAGGAATGGGTTTGGGTGGGGGAAATCAGGATTTCTCTTTGCCTTAATGTCCTTGAGACGTTTATTAGCTCTCAAGAGAAGACATGAATATGAAGTCACATTAAGAGTTCAGAGTAGTCAGGGCTACTAATTCATCAGCATGTAGGCAAGATAAGATGAGAAGCCCTTTATCTTGGTCTGGTTTCTGCTACTGTAACAGACTGCCGGAGACTGGATGATTTATAAAGAAAATAAATTCATTATGAATAGTGCCGGAGACTTATAGGTTGGGAAGTCCAAGGTCAAGGGACCCACATCTGATGAGGGCTCTCTTACTGTGTCATCCTATGGTAGAAGTTAGGAGAGCAAGAAAGTGTGTGCAAGAGGAGGCCCAACTCGCCTAAAAAGGCCACTCTTGATAACTAACCTGTTCTCCAGATGACATTGTTCCTGAGGGAACAGCCCTATTGACCTAATTACCTCTTGTTAGGCCTCACCTCCTAACACTCTTGCATTGGGGATTGTGCCTCCAACAGATGGACTTTGGAGGACACATTCAGACCATAGCACCCTTCAAAGGAATGGAGCTGCCAAGGAAAACAGGTCCCAGAAGTGCATCCCAGCCTTCCCTGGCAGGCCTGCTTTTATTTATTTATTTATTTATTTATTTATTTATTGCATATGGATAGGTTATGTGACTTTCCCAGGATCCCAGTAAGCACTGGGATTTGGCTCTGTACTCCTTACTGGGATTTGGCTCTGTACTCCACAACCTCTGCTCCCACCCACCCACACCTTGCCATAGTGGAACAGTGCCTTGTCCTTCATGTATCACAATCTCTCTGCAGGAAGAAGATGATGATGGTCTACCTAAGAAAAAATGGCCCACAGTAGATGCATCTTACTATGGTGGGCGAGGCGTTGGAGGCATTAAAAGGATGGAGGTAAGAGGACAGCTTGGTGCATACCTATTCTCGTTCTGTCTACACCATGATGGGGACCCAAAGCAAATGGCGACATCTCCTGCTTTCGGCAGGTGGGGATGTGGATGGTGAGGCAGGAGGATGGAGAGATGAGAGGTGCAACCTTTTAGCTGTGCACTGGTTTCTTTTCTCACTAAAATAGTATCCAAAGTTCTTGCCTGGCCTTGCCTGGCCTTCTACACATGCTCTCCCACTGCCAGGACAGTTCCTCCCCTAAATAGCCATACCCATGGCTTGGACTCTCTGTTCCTTCCACTCTCCTTTTTTTCCACAGCGCCCCTCTTCCCTGGCCCTCCAAACCCACAGGCAATGAGGCATGGGTCGCACATGCAGGGCACATCACATGGTTATTTGTCAGCCTTATTCCCCAAGAGCAGCCTATTTTATTTTTTTCACTTTGTCTTGTTATATTTTATTTGTATTAGGTTCGTTGGGGAGAAAAGGGATCCACAGAAGAAGGGGCCAAGTTAGAAAAGGCAAAGAATGCAAGAGTCAAGATGCCAGAGCAGGAGTATGAGTTCCCTGAGCCTCGAAATCTCAACAACAATATGCGCCGGCCCTCTTCGCCCCGGAAGTGGTACTCTCCCATCAAGGTAGGTCTCTCTTGTCTCCAGATGATTCCCTCTAGGACTCGCTCTTCCTGGCTGAGAGCAAACTCCTTTGAAAGTTTTGTACCATTTTCCTTCCCCCCACAGCTCCAGATCTTAAAATCCTCATTGGCTTCGTAGGAAGGTTAAGCTGCAAGAAGCAGTTAATGCTTCCTGAGGACCTCTTTGTCTCCGGGTTGCAAATGGCTTTGAATTCACATAATTGGATCAACCCTTCTCTCACCCTTGTCCTTAAGCATCTGTGCCAATTCTCAGAAAGCTCTAGAAAATATCATTGAAAAGACACAATGCCCGCGTTTCATAGAGAAGAAAACAGATAGGCAAAGTCCGTGCTATGCTGGGGACTAGAACTCAATGCCCAAGCTCAGGGCCACAGCCTCTAGTTCCATGCTGCAAACAGACTGGGCCCACTCCAGAACCTTACGTGGAAGGGTATGAGAGCCAGCCTCCCAGGCCACCCTATGTGCATGCGCACGCGCACACACATACACACACACACACACACAAACACACACACACACACACAGAGACTTACCGCTGCCGAATGACAACAAAAATAATTGTTATCATTCACTAAGTTATTTGCTAATTTTGGATCAGCACTTCTCTTACAAAATCAAAAGAAATACCATTTCCAACAGTGGAATGAAAACTTCATTGGTAGTCATTTTTTCTCAGCCAAGTTCACTCGGGTTCACCACGAATTGCAATGCATTTCCACTTTTGGTTTGCCATGTTTAAAGCAGAGAGATTCTTTTTTAAGATAAAATTCCCCCTGAGGCAGTGGGCTGAACTCTGGGAAGATGTGGGCGAGAGGCAACTTGCTTGAAGAACAGCTGTTTGCTCCTGATTCTTTTCTAATGGGGAACATGCAGTGGCGTGCGTACTTGTTCAGACAGGAAGGAGCCAAGGAGATTCTCGGAGATGAAGAAGAAAGGGAATTTTCTATTATGTTGTTTTCAGGAATCTGTACTTTGTGACTAACACGGTATCTTTGGTTATAGCTGAATTTGTGTTTCTATAATCTTGCACGTTGAGAGAACATGAATTCTGTTTGAAGAAGCCACTTTCTGCCTGAGTGCATGTTATTCCTCTGTTAACTGGTAGTTTAGGACTGAGCTTCCTAAAATAAATAAAGATATGGACAAATACATTTAAAAATCCAAAAACATGTGGCTTGGGAGGCTGAGGCAGGAGGATCGTGTGTTCAAAGCCAGCCTCAGAAACTTAGCTAGGCCCTAAGCAACTCAGCAAGACCCTGTCTCTAAATAAAATTAAAAAAAAAAAAAAAAAACAGCTAGAAATGTGGCTCAGTGGTTAAGTGCTCCTGGGTTCAATTCCCCATATGAAAAAAAAAAAAAAAAGATCCCAAAACATTCCAACATCCTCTTGGAATTAATAGTGGTTCAATGAGGTTTGTCATGTGCCTTCTATGCACCAGATACTGAATATACAGAGATTCTCAAACCTGGCTGAATATCAGAATCACCTGGAGGTGTTTTCAAAATATAAGTGCTTTCAAAACCCAGAGTCTCACAAAAAAATCTCCAAAATTATATTGGCCTTCACGATTTGCCCATGTTGTCTCATCAAATGAGATATCCTTTTGTTCCCCCAATGCCTCCATTTTCTGATTTCACATCCAAACTCCCTAACTGGTGGTAGTCTTTGGTCACCCCATTGACCACTTCTTCCAGAGTCCTGGCTCTTGAGCTTCCTCCTTCCTCTTTCTGTCAAATCACTGGCTCTTAAAGTCTGGTTCCCCCAGACCAGCGACATGAGCATCACCCAAGAAGTGCATATTTGGGGCCCCACCCAAGATCCACTGAATCAGAAATTTCAGTGGTAGAGCCCGGCCACCTGGGTTTTAATAAGGCATTAGAGAAGTTGTCACCAAAGGTTCCAGCCAGCATTCCTTAGGGAGTTCTCAGAGGACAGGAACTGTGGTGCCTGGACTACTAAAATAGGTAGAGAGGCCACGGCCAGACCTCAGTGATTTGTCAGGAATCTCATCAAGGAGATCCACATGAGATTTCCACTGTGGGGACATTGTCGTCACCAACACAACTGCTGGTTTAATGTTAAGTGATTGGGAATCCCAGTGTCTTGGAATCACCTAGAAAGCCTAGTGGAAAAAGCCTGTGCTGCTGGTGGACTTGCTGAGCACCTGGGCAGGACTCCCTCATTAAGACACAAGAAAAGTGTAAGAGCACCTTTTGCCTATGGAGCAGGTAATGCCGACACTTCCTCACTCCTTCTGCTAGGTGGGAGATGGGTGAGAGCCATTGCTGTGATTACTCAGGTTTATGAGCTTTCTCTCCACCATATTTCACCCCTGGCAGGCACCAATTAATTACGCTTTGAAGCCTCAGTAAACAGCACTGTGCCAGGCAGAGAGAGAGGGACTCCACCAAACCTTGTTAAAGAGCTGAAGCATGCAATATAATTATGAAACCACTCCCAGAGCGTCATGCCAGCCCAACCACACAGCTCACATTAATACTCTCTGTCCAGGAAGGTGACATTCCTCTTGCCATCTTGGAGGAAGGGGGAGAAAAAGAGGTCATTTAATGTTTATCTGGGCTGAGTGCTTGAGGAAAGGCAGGAACAAGAAGAACAGAAGTGCTGAAAAGAATTCAGAAGTAATAGTGTGGGGCCTGGTGTTGTGGCTCAGGGGTAGAGCGCTCACCTAGCACGTGCAGGGACATTGGGTTTGATCCTTAGCACCATCTAAAAATAAAATAAAGGTATTGTGTTCAACTACAACTAAAACAAAAAAAATTTTTTTAAGTAATAATGTGAACTCTTGATTTGGAAAAAAGACAGATGTGCCATTGGAACCTCAGCCCCGTATAGTTTTAACAAGACGCATGCTCCATGCTGAGCCCTGTTCTGGCTACAGTGCCTATGTCACTTGCTAGCCCCTGGGACAAAACATTTAACCTCGTGTGGCACCATAATTCTGCTCTCCCTTCTTGAACTTTCTCACAGAGATCCTCACAGTGCTGTGTTGAAACAAGGCACACTCCAAAGGGTTGAGCTAACAAAGGGTAAGCAGGGTTAAAGACCCCACAGAGGCAGAGAGACCCCAGGCCCTAGCAAGACAATCTGTTGCACCCCTAGGCCTGTAGGGCAAGGAGGATATGGTGACACTAGAGCCCAGTGACAGCCACAGCTCTAGAGAAGAGAGTACCCATCTGGAGCTATGGCCATAGGCAGGAATAGGCAATCTAACCCTGCCCCATCACCTGGTGTATGCCCACAAGCAAAGGATGGTTTTGACATTGTCAAGTATTATATGGTTATATAATATCCTCAGCTTTGCCTCTTGACCTACAAAGCCTACAATCTTTCCTCTCTGGCCCTTTCCAGAAAATGTTTTCAGATCCATGGCCTCATTCAATTGTAGCCACTGCGGAAGAGGTGGAAGGGGCAGGAGGAATAAGCACCTCCGCTTGTTCTCATCTCTTTCTGGGTCCAGTGCCACCTATTGGTCAAAGGAAGCCTATTGGTATAGAAGCAGGTTTTCAAGGCCTGGAGCAGGGAAGACAGAGAAATTCAGATAAATGAAAGGGACAGGCAACTCATGTAGAAAGACCTATCTACACTGTACCCACCTTTCGTTCCCTCTAATTGGGGAGAACATCTCTATCTAGCAAAACTTTTCGCAGGCCCTGGGAAGATTCCTAGCTGCTCCCCAGAAAAAGTAACCAGAATCCTACATCTCACAGGATTGCCCTGGACTTATTTCCTTCATGTATTCCATGAACGATCAGGTGAGCACAGTTTCTGTGAGGATGCCCAGTGAGACCTGAGCGAGGGAAGAGGCTACAGTGGGCTCTTTTTCCACCCACCGTCCCCCAGTCTAATTTAAGGCACTGACCACAACAACCACACTTCCCCCATCCTCATTCCAGGCTCATGATCAGGAAATTTTCCCTGACAGTTAGCCTGCATTTTCCTTTGCTTGGGTTTTCACCCCCTGGATTTATAACACCCCGTGCTTCTCATTAAATTGGGACTGATCATTTTAGACAAGTTAAGTCATGCCTGTATATATGGCCACCAGCTAGATTAAAAGCAGAACCAACTGTAGGTTTGTTGGAAGGCTTGTAGTCTTCAGAGAAACCATTTTTCTCCTTCTCCAGTAGCTTCTTCACATGACTGGAAGTGACAGAAATGACAGCCAAAGGACAAAAGCCAGAACCTGCCCTGCCAGGCAGGGCAGGCATTTCCCTACAAGATAGGCAGCCTATGAGGGGCAGGGTTAGCTTGTCCCACTTACAGGGCCTGGGAGCCGGGTGGTCTTTATTTATTTCCCGTCAGATCCCTAGTCTGACCTTGACCTTGTAGTCAAGCAGCATTCCGTCATGACACTGCACTAGATGAAGCTGTATGTAGCTAAGCAAGACATATCAAAGCACTGAATGTCAGATGTGCTGTTGATGGTGAACAGATTTCATCCCTCTCGGGCTACTTTTTAGAATGATTCCAATTTCTTCTTAAAAAAAAAAAAAGACCCAAAGGGGGGGAAAAAAACTAGTAAAAAATGACCCTCTGTGTACATGTGCAGGGAAAGCTTCCAACCTTATCCATTAATTTAAATCCATTAAATGTATTCATGAATTTCATTTGAGCCTGGGTCACACTATCTACCAGGTGTTTATTTCAAGGTAAAAAAAAATTCAGGTGTCAGTCAGTAGTGGCCCTAAAAGTTGTACCACCCTCAAAATTCTCGATCTCTGGCTAACTTCCAACCAGCTAAGGCAGACACACCAGAAGAGAAGACACAGATGTTGCTGGGCTGGGAAGAAAAAAAGAAAGAAACCCAGCCACAAACACTCATGCAGCAGGGTGCTTTGAATGATGGCCATATAAACATCTCCAGCCCAGACTAACTGCGGAGAAAGAAGCAAAAGCCAGAGTTTACATACAACTTCCAGTTTGTCTTTGTGAAATTATTGTCTGAAGCTAAGTGAGATACAGTGTGGAAGTCTGGAATGGGTAAATTTTTCATTTTGCAGTCAGACTGTATTAACCTCATACGAAAAAAAGCTATTTTTAAGTGTCATCCTAATACACTCTGGCAGAGGGTTCCGAGATTTGTGGAGAAATCTCTGTTGTGGTGTCACAGAAGCAGTTGGGCATTTGGCCTGGGAGTGAGGACCAGTGTCTGAAACGCATCCTGTGGAGGTGGCTCCTGCAGGGTCTGCATCCAGACCTGATAGACATGAGGTGGCACCAACCCGGAAGGCGTCTCCTGGGCTGCAGGGAAAGATGGGAACCAGTGGGGAAAATCCCCTGAGACACTTATGGCCTTGAAGGGATATTATGAATAAGCCCACTTGTCACTTTAAATGCTACTATCTTTAAAGGACAGACTTCTGTCTTCATTCAGAAAACCAAGGCCTCCGGAGCCTCTGCCCCTCTCCTTGACTTCTGTCAGTTATTTTTATCCTCTTTTTGTACCCCTCTTTCTCTGAAGCTTACTTCCTACCTGATGAAGGAGTAGATCACCCACATTGTTTTTCTGCAGCACAGACCAGGGACCTGGGGTTTTTCCTGTGGGACAGTCAGAACTCCAAAGATACAATGGAACTAGCTAGTCTCCCTTTGGCCAGAATTACCAGTGACAATGGCTCACCTAATGCACACACTGCAGGTAGGGTAAGGTTCCAAGTGCTTCCAAGTTGTTTATTTCTCACAATAAGCCTTGAAAGTAGAAACCATTACTCCTTTCATTTTGCAATGCAAATAAAAGCCAAGTCCTGGAGAGGTTAAATATTTGCCCAAACTCACTCTGTTAGTAATCCTTCCTGGTTTATTTTATTAACTGCAATGCATCCATTTGGGCTAGCAATGAAATCTGATATTAATTAATAAACAAGAGAGGACAAGGAGCCTAGAGGTAAAAGACCCAATCAGAATACTTCACAGAATGAGTGACAGGTGATGAGGACCTGGGTCAAGGCAGACTGGGGTGGGACTGGACTGGAGAGCTGCTACAGAGACCATACCCAAGGCATAGTCGGTTTTGGACATGAGGAGGTGTCAGAGAGGTCACAGTGGTCCTTTGAAGTCCAATGTTCCCATCCATGAACCAAGGCAGGGTGTGCAAAAGCA